GGAAGTCCTTCTCTGGTAAAGAGGCTTAAAGTAAAAAGCTTGAGAGCTGTAGACCACCATGTGCCACTGGAGCAAGCCAGTCAGCACTGAGAGAGAATAAGGCCCGTGTGCGTGTGTGTGCGCGTGTGCACACACACACACACACACACGGATGAGGGTGGGTTCCAGAAGCCCTCATGTTGGTGGCTCCTGGTGGTTCGGGCCTGGCTGCATTTTCATTCTCCAAACAATTTGGTGGTTCAACCCATCCTTGAATTCTAGGAGCTAAGAGACTCCATTTCTGCCTGAACGAGGTGAGGTTGGCATCCTTCTTACTTAGAACTGAAAGAGTAACAGGGAGAGTGAGAGGCCTTTGCATGGCAGCCTTATGAGCCTTGTTGGAGAGTGAGGACAGAGAAATAATTTAGGGGCTAGAGGAGGAGGAGAAGCAGCTAGGCCGCCCGGGAGTGACGGACGGGGTGGGGAGAGAACCGCTTGGGGCTGAGGCTCTCAGGAGGACGATGGGACAAGCAGAAGGTGATGGCATGGCCCCTCTGCTGTGGGACCCTGACAGCTGCCTGTGAATACATCACCTCACCCAAGAGAAACGTGCGACACCCCTTTCCTCCTTCCTTCTTTTTAGCCTTTGCCCCAGCCAGGGAATGTTGCACGGGCACCCAAGGGCTGTGGTGTTGTCCAGGACGGCCTGGGGTCCCCTTGGGGTCACTCCAACATGGCCAGGAGGCAGCTCCTCCCTCGCTTCTTTTTCTGGTCATATCCCATCTGTTGCCCTTGGGTGGGGGCTGGGGCCGGTGACTCCCTTCCTGACCTAGGCCCTGGGGGCAGGAGGCCAGTGACCCTTCCTGACCCAGGCCCAAGAGGGCTCCTCAGATGGCAGAGGGAGACAGAGAACAGTCTCCCCAGGTAGATGCAGGCTGTGGGGCTGACCTGGCCCACCTGACCCTGAGACCCCTGGGGGATGGGCAGAGAAGGGGCAAGGTCAGGGCCCGGCCATCTGAATGACCGTTCAGTCAGGGTCCCAGCAGGAGAGGGAAGGCCCGCCCACAAGTGGGTGAGTGCAGGGCTGCCGGGCAGGATGGGGACCTCGATGGTGCTGATGCGGTAAGACAGGGCCCTTTGCCACCTCTGGGTCTGCAGGGACAGAGGGAGGGACTGATGCAGGCCAGCGTACACCAGCTGGGTCTTCAGAAACAGGGTCTGGGAACCATGGTGTCCAGGCGGGGAGGTGACCGCGCACCCTGTTGCTGCCCTGCACCAGCGTGGAGAGTGGTTCCACAGAGGCACACGGAGCCCTCCAGCCCACACGGGCAGCACGGGCCAGGCGCCGAGGCCAGTGTGGGTGGAGCCGGGTGTTTCTCCAGAAAGGGCCGTGGTGAGCAGCGCTGCCAGCCAAGCGCGTCACTTGTCCCTGCCGCGGGGACTGTGGAAAAGCTGACCACATCGGTAATTACAGCAGCTGGAGGTGGCAAGACCTCATAGCATCTCTGACTTCATCTTCTTGTCAGGGCAGGAGAAGCCCTCCCAGGAGGAGGAGGTGACATCTTACGTTAGTTGGAGGCCGGGAGGAATCCGGCTCAGCCTCTGCTCTTTAAACCAGCGCTGGCTTCTTTGAAAACGTGGCAGGTCCCCCCCTTTTACTGGCTTGCGGTCCTCGTGTTTTTAGAAACATCAGAGGAGAGTGTGTTTTAAACCGGCATCTTCTGAGATTGATGATGTAATTAGAGCAGACCAAGAAGATGAAATATTAGGTTTATAAACTAGGATGCACACAGATGTTTATACTCCTCGGCAGGCACAGATCTATAAATAATTCTTTTCGCCTTAAACTCAACCTAGGGTTTTGCTCTTTGCGTGACTGCAGCATCCCCTCCCCAAAGGCCATTTCTGGGTTTGGCATAAATCACAGTGCGAACAGAGGCTCGTGAAATGGTGCCCCCCCATTGGCACCCTTGATGGAAGTCGGGAAGAGAAATGTCCTCCGAGTGGATGGGCATAGTGCCCTTTGGCACTCTGGCTATTAGGGTTGAGCTCACAGGTTCCAAATGGGCCTTACGGCAGAGACGACGGCTCATGTCCCGTCCAGTGAGGGAAGGGGAGAAGACCTAGCACCCTCTCTGGTTGGAGGGAACCCCCTTACAAATGGAGGTCATGGGGGCGTTCCTTGCATGTAGTTTTCTCTCTTTTCATTGAAGTCGTTGTCTGCCATTGCCTGAGCCGACGCTAATTGTACATTTCTAGGCTATTGGCCTAACCTCTTATTTGCCGCTTATGTTTTCTGGTTTTAGCTGATTTCAGCAGCTCCTGCCCGCGACCTGGGCAAGAGTGTTCCCGTAGCACTGGATTCCCGGGTGGTCCCCTCCCTCTGGTGGTGTGATGTGCCCGAGCTCTGCCGGCCCAGCCGAGCCGCCACGGTGCCTCCCCGCCGTCGGAGGCCTCTCGGGGGTCACTGCGGAGACACGGCCTGTCACTCCAGGTGACTTAATCAGTGTGGAAATCCCAGCTGGAAGCCTTCTGTTGGTTTTCTGCCTCCCAACACAAATGCCCTTCAAGTGGTGCTGACCTGACGTGGACTCTCAAAGAAAGGCCTTTTGATCCTGGGCTGGCGATGGCCTGTCCCCGCGTGCTCCCGGCTGCCTCCCTGTGGAACCATGGCGCCCAGCCGCCCAGCCGGGCCGCTGCCGGGAGGCAGCTGACCTGAAAGTGATGTTATTTTTTTAACGTGGGTTTTTGTACCCAGAGCAATAATATTTTCAGCTGGTTATTGAGGCTGATTAATGAGCTTCAAGCGTCCATTTGGTTAAATAGAGCCGCCTTCACAGATGTATTTTGGGACAGTGCAAATCCAGGGTTCTGCGTGGGATTGAGTTACCCCAAAAGGTGGTCGGCCATTTGCCCAGGGCCTGGGCCCTGCAAAGCAGCCTGGGTAAATTCCTATGGTGCCAGACCACGGGGCGGGCTTTCAGAGCCGCAGGACACTGGGTGCTTCTCTCCTCATCCTCGGCAAGTGGTGGCCAGTCGTGCTTGAGAACGCTGAGCCCTTTTGGAGACATGACTCCCAGCCCTCTCACGTGTTTGCTCTACTCTCTTTGAACTGGTTATTTGTGCTCTCAGAGCCTCAGTTTCTTCATCTGTAAATTGGGAGTACTAATACCTACCTCGAGGGTGAGCCTATAACCTACTCCATCCTGTGGGGGGGGGGGCAGATGTGCACACGTGTGTTAGTTTGGGGGGATTGTTGGGCAGCCTAGGGGGGCAAATAACAGGAAAAACTCAAGGGGAAAGAGCCATCGTCTCTCCTTAAATAGTTAGGAAATCAGCAAATCAGTTCAAGAAATGGTCAATCCCACAAGGCCAGTCTTAATAAAGGTGTGGAGGCACTGGTCTTAGGAGGACCATGCGCTGAGGCTCGTGGCCAGTGGAAGTCAGGAGGCTTGTACTCCTGTCCTGGCTCTGCTGTGACCAGGCCAGTCGTTTCCTTCTCTGAGCCCTGGTGTCCAGCTCTGAAAAGCGAGGGGTTGGATTCCTTCCAGAACCACGATCCCATTGCTGTGTGATCCAAATGATTGAAGTGTTCATATTTCTTCCTTGGAGAAAATCACGGAGTCTGGATTCTCTGTGAGAAGAGAAATGGGTAGCACGAGGGAACTCAGCTGCGTGGGGAAGCGTGCCGGGCTCCATCCGTGGGCTTTCCGAATGTGCCTGTGTTTCCCTCTTGTCCGGGAGGCTCTCCCGGACATGCCGGGAGAGAAATTGGACCCTAGGCACTGGGTTGAGGGGGTGCCCTGAACTGCACCGGGAGGGCTGGGGTGCCTCGCTCCGCGGTGCTGCAGTCTGCCCATGCTGACGTCATTTCCTCTGTCTCTTTTGAAATAGCTGTTCTTTTGGACCGAGGTTGACAAATCCTTGGGTGGTGGATTTTGAAATGGTTATAAACAATGTGCAATTAGTTCTCTTGTCTAAATGAGAAAGGCAGGCTTCCCCGGGCTTCTTGTTAACCCACGGCCTTTCATCCCCTTGGCAAATGCATCCCGTATGAGTGAAGCAGCCCCTCTTGAGGTCAAGAAAAATAAGGTTTGTCTTTTGGAAGTCCACTGACTTGGCCTGAATTCCCTGGTGTTGTTGACAAAGAGCTCTGGTGTGGATGGAGGTCAGGCCGCCACCTCCCCTGATTGACCCTGGGCCCAAACCTCTCTTGGCCTTCATATGCAGATGAAGGGGTATAGTGATACCTTCCCTCCCCCCACCCCCCCCAGCCTCCTAAGTCACTACCTGGGCTTTTCTAAGGTTCAGATAAAAATATCTGGAAAATCTCTGTATGTTCATTTTATAAGCTGAAAAGCTACAAGAAGGTAAGGGATCCATACAAATGTTTCCTCTCAGAAGAAACAATAATGACTGTGGTGATAATTAGGGCAACTGTTCATTGAGCGTTATGATTATGTGCCTGGCTCTGTGCTAAGAGCTTTATCACAGTCTGTATGCACAACTGCCTTACAGTAGGTGCTTTTTCTATCTGCACTTTAGAGCGTAAGGACTTTGTCTAAGGTCACGCAGCTGTAAGGTCTGAGTGACCTGAGGGCAGGGCAGCCTCTCCAGACCTTTCAGTTTGGTGGCTGGTTATCTTCCAGTGGATTCCTGTGGTTTATCTAAGTTGGTGGTTCTCGACCCCAGCTGCCAGGGTCCTGCCCTCACAGCTGGAGGGCCTGGGCTGGGGTGGGGCCTGAGCAACAGCCTTAGCTCCCCGTGAGTCTAACGTGCCACCCGAGAGGAGAGGGCCTGTCGTAAGCTCGCGTTCACGGATTGTGCCAGGGAGGCTGGGCTGGACGTCAAGGCTCCTTGGCCGGGTCTTCTCCCCAGTCCGGGCTTCCGCTTCCTGCCCTGTGGAGGAGGGATTTGTCCCTTGACCTCCATGCTGTCTTCTCCGGGGGCCGCTCAGGTTGTGTAACTTTAAGCAGCTCATGAGCAGATCTGTTATCATTCTCGTGCTCTTTCTCTTTCAGGCAGAATATGAAGTTACACCAGATGAAAAACTGGGGGAAAAAGGGAAGGAAATTATGACCAAGTACCTCACCCCAAAGGTAAGAGGCCGCCTGAACCCCAGAGTGGGAGGAAATGGGAGGCCTTTCAGAGGAATGTGGGCCCTGGATCTGGGTCAGGCCGAGTGGGGGGCTGTAAAGCACGTGTAAAGCAGGTGCAGCCGTTGGTCTGCAGACATCCAGAATTCTCATCCTCTCCCAGCAAGTGCCTGTGACTGGGAGCGGGGCCCAAGGCAGTGGGCCGGGCCTGGGGTGGGGAGGCCTGCTTGCTGGGGCCCAGTCCCCTGCAGGGACCCCATGCTGCCCACTGCCCATACCCAAGGGTTTATTTATAGCTGAACAGGTGGGGGCCTGGCCCAGCCGGGGTCAGGAGTGCCCAGAAGAAAGGGCACAGCGGAGGTGGTTTGGAGAGGTTGGTGTGGAGGGGAAGAGTCTGGGGATGATCAAGAAGGGAACGGGGTGGCAGAGGTGACGTAGGGGGAGTACAAACAGAATGTGGAGCATCCTAAAGTATGTCCTGGGTATACTGAAGGGAGAGAGGCCCCCGTGACCATACCTCGGGAGCACCCACACCCCAGTGCCGAAGGAATAGTACCAGCCCCTGGGGTCCTGGTGGCCTTGGTTCCCCGGAACCTGTCCCTTCTCACCCCCAACTCGACAGATAAATGTGCTCTCCCTCCGGCTCAGAACTTGGCCTGCGCCTGGGGTTCTAATGTCATCTCTTCTCCCCACACAATCCAGTCATGTCCCTCATTGGGCCTCAGTTTCTGTTTCAGGCCTACCTTCTAGAGATCTGGTCACCTCTCAAAATAGCATGAATACCCTGGGCTTAAGCAGCACCCAGAGGTCCAAGGAGGTGGGTAAGAGCAACAGCTTGCCACTGAGGACCCACAGGGTGCCTGACGCCGCCCCAGGCGTTGTCTGTGCTGGCTCCTGTCTCTGGGACATGAGAGGTGTGGCCAGGTGGCAGCCAGGGCCCCAAATGGCGGGTGACAGGCTATGGCCGCTCAACCTCTAGAACCTTCAGCTGCACTCAGCACAGGTGGTTTCCACAGTGCCTGAGCTTTGCCAGTCCGGCTCTGCGTCTGCGCCCAGTTTGAGGCTGCCCACCCGCTTGTTCCCCGCCCCCCCCCGCCGACATGTGTTGGGGACCCACTGTGTGCAGACATTGTCTCTTGATCCTTGCAGCTACCACGCGCTGTGACTCTGCTGGGGCTCCGTCTTATGGTTGAGCACGGGGAGGCTCGGGAGGGGCAGTCACTGTCCCAGGTCATGCAGCTGGGACTTCAGACTGTGGTCTTTCCCCGTGGTGCACTGTTTCCCACACCGGGCCCCTCCCCACCCTCCTGCCTCCCCCCGCCAGGCACACCTGCCGGCCCGTTCGGCCCATCCAAGGGCTGCTGCAGGGGGCTGTTTCCCTCTCTCCCGACCTGGCCAACCGTATCGAGAAGCCTCTGCCGGTGGACGCCCTCCAGACCTCCCTGCTCAGTGCTGCCTCCGTCTCCTGGAGGGATGGGGCCCAGACTCCTCATCAGCTCACATGGTTTTACAAGTGCCTCAGAGTCTGCCAACATTTTTTCCTTAAGTGCTCCTCGATTTAAAGAATTTAAACCACACCATATGTTACGGCCCAGGGGCCTGGGGGAGGTGGTCGAAGCAGTCCCATGGGGTGACTGTTTTCCTACAATAAATTTCACACTGACTCCCAGGCCTTCCTGTAGCCAATCTCTCAGGAGCTGTTTTCACTTCTCAGTTCTGCAGATGCCCCCGGTGCCGGCGGTGGGAGTGGGGGGGGTGGGGGGAGTGGGGAGGACAGGGGCTGAGGCACCAGCACTGGCCCTGAGGTCTCTAAACAACCCCCAGAGCCGTTGTCCCCAAACCCAGATTGTCCTTACCTTGAGCCTTTCCTCAAGACGTAGCCCCTGCATCTCAGCTCCAAGCAGCATTTCCAAAGGGGCTGAAGGACAAGGACCATTTGAGAGGTTCTGTTGTCAACTATGTGTGGGCAGCACTATCTGCTCTGTGTTCCCCTTGTGAAAATGCGCCTGGCCTGTGAGCATATCAAAGGCCCTGAGAAGTCCTGCAGTAAAGAGCCCTCTTTAATTGAAGCAAAGCATTTCCCACACTTATTTGACCATAGAACCTTTTCCCCCCAAATTTTACATCCTGCTGAATACATCTGTGGCTGCAGAACACATCCAGGGGTCTTCACGACCTGGTTTCCTTCTGCTACAAATGCTTTTTCCTGACAGCTCTCCCACAGGCCCCACGCTGTGCTTTGGCCCAGTCTCTTCTTGACGACCACACCTCGTCGTCCCTGTTCAGGCTGTTCCCCGCAAGGCCTTTCACCTAGACCCCTGCTCTGTTTTTTTTTTTTTTTCCCTTCCATGTCCCTCAGCCTGATACCTCAGCTGCACACAGCCCTTTGCCACTGGTCAGACGCTATCACACCTACCTGGGCGCTCACCGAGCACGCCTCCCTGTTGTACTTCGCAAGTCCGTGAGGTCAGTGCTCCCGCGCCCCGGTGCCTGGGGGCCCGCCCTGCAGTGAGGGTGACACACATCAACGGGTCCCTGAACGACAGTGTTACGGGAGCAATGGCGGGACTGTGCAACGGGCAGAGGGGAGGGGTCCTGAGAAGCTGCCCCTAGACCACCCTGGACAAGCCAGGGAGGCTTCTGGGAGGTGTTGCAACTGAATCAAATTTTAGGGTGATGAGAAGGAAGAGGCCAGGTATGAATGAAAGGGAAGAAGGGCCATTCATGGGCAAATGTATAGAGCATCACCTGGGAGTGTTTTGCCCCCCAGGGGACAGTTGGCAGAGACTGGAGATATCTTTGATTGGCACAGTTAGGGGGATGTGCTGCCGGCGTCTAACGGGTAGGGGCCAGCGGTGCTGTTGAACTCCCTACGATGCACCCGACAGCCCTATAACAGAGAATTGTCTGGCCCCAAGTGTCAGTGGTGCTGAGGTTGAGAAGCCTTGGTATAGACGCAGGCGAGGGTCAGGCAGGAGCAGAAGTTAAGGGGACGGGGGTCCCGCGGGTGGCAGGGCCTGGCAAACCATGCTGAGGAGACTGACCCCATCATGGCAGCAGTGGCAGCCGTTTGCCATTGAGGCAGGTCCCTCTGTCCACGTGGAGAACGGGGGAGGGGGAGGACCAGAGGCAGAAGACTAGGGAGCTGATGCAGGGGCCATGGGAGTGACTGTGACCCATGCTGGGACATGACAGCACAAGGGTCTTGGGAAACGTTGGGAGGAAGGAGTTCTGGGGGCGGCCAGGTGTGGGGTGTGAAGGGGAAGGGGACCGGAGACCCAGGTGACTCCTGGTTTTCGTCTTGAGTCACTGAGTGGGTGCACTGCCCCCAAGAAAGAGTACATGGGACGAAGGGCATTGCTGCAGGTGGCGGGGTTATAGCGCACTGGGCAGAGATGGTGGCATTTGCTCTCTGTGGGTGGCCCCCTGCACCTGCCAGTGCTGGACTCACAGCCCACAATCGTGGTGAGCTGCTTTGAATGAGACAGTGCGGGGGCCCTGGGAAGCTACCTTCCGTGAGCCCCTTACCTTGGGTCTCCAGTGTCTTATCTTGGGGAGCTGCCACTTGGCTGGTTTTTGTTCCCTGGTGTCTGACATGGTGTGTTTGCTGGGAGTCTGGCTGGAAAGTCACCCCCGCCCCCCCCCCCATCCCTTGCCGGTTCTAAGTCAGAGCTTATGCCCGGGGCTGAATTCTCACTCCCTGTGCGATGATGCCCTTCAAACCCTGGCTGGAAGGCTTCCTTCCCGAGAGATAAGCCCACTCCTTGGACACTGCCCAGATTTTGCATCAGTTGTCCAGACATGGGCAGCTTCGTCCCGGGGGCAAAGCTAGAGACACCAGCCCTGGGTCGGCTTTGGAGCGCACCAAATGGGGGCATCTAACACAAAGGTGGCAGAGAGCTGTGAGAAGACCTTTTAGAACCAGACAGACCTGGGTTGGAGGGCAGACTTGACCTCTTTCAGCAGCGCGGCCTTGGGAAAGTTATTAGCTTCCAGCTGTCAAGTGGGTGGGACGGTGGTGAGGGTCCCAAAAGCCAGCAAGTACACAGCCCTGGGGCTGGTCCGTGTTGGACGAGCTCGCTCAGTGGGGGTTAGCGTCGGACTTTCCCCCTCCTCTCTGTGCTTTCAAAATGAGACTGTTGAATGAAGAAATCACTCAGACATGAACTCTAGCTGTGGAGTTGAGAGAGGCCAAGGAGGGGTCTGGAGGGCCCCCAGCAGCAGAGGCTGGCCGGAGAGGCCAGGCTCCTTACAAGGCGATGCGTTTGTCAGGATGATTAATACTAGCTGCCACGAGAAACAACCCCCAAATCTCAGGGACTTCGCACAGCAGAGAGTCTTTCTTAGGCACAATCTGATTGGGTCTTCAGCTCTCCTGGGTGAAGACCATCTTGAAGGTGTTGTCTTATGGTCACTGCCAAAGGGGAGGAGAGAAGTGAAGGAAGTGCTCAAGCGTGAACTGCCTGGTTAAAGCTCCCCTGGCCAGCAAGGAAGGCCAAAAGATTTGTGGGAGCCTATGGAATGCTGCTTCCTGCCTTCCTGCCTGCCTACCCCCCAAACCCCCAAACTGAAAACATTGTTTCTATGGCAGGCTAGTCTCTGGTGCTGGTGATCATGGCGTGTCCTAGAAATAGTCAAAGGTGTGTCAGCTCAGAGAAGCTGCCCAGAGGCCCCCTGGTCAGATCAGGTGTATGCGCTAAGCTCTGTAGAGATCTGGGCGGCTCACCTTCCAGGTACCTGCAGATCAGAGGTGATATAGGTGTTTGTCGGGGGGGCGGGGGGGCAGCCTTGCTCTGAACCAGGAAGTAGTGTTAATTATACTAATAAATAATAATAGGTGATTGTGAAAGCGTCCATCACTACAGACTTTAAAATATTAGCTTAATGGAGATATAATTCACATACCATAAAATTCATCCTTTTAAAGTGTACAGTTCAGTGGTTTAAAACACAGAGTTGTACAACTATCACCACTATTTGCATCCAGGACATTTTATCACCCC